CGCCACCTTGCAGCCCGCATTTCTCTATGTAACCATTCAAACTATTTAAATAAATACAGGTTAAACAAGTAGCCGTTGATGTAGAACCTTGTTAACACTTCAGCGATACGTACACACTTTGTAATACTGATTATAATTATAATACTGATGAGACATACAGTATGTACAAGTACAGTAATATGATCGAACTTGAGGCACATTGACCATGTGAACATACCATTTTCACTTTTAACAGCACACACTGCTGTCATAAGCAAGCTGAAATTAATCTGCTTGAAGGCCCCTGGTGCAAAAATCAGCTGTGGGGCCCCTATTAAGCATTATGTACACTATTCCAAAAGTAACTACAATGTTTTTTAGGATTATCCACTAAGTGATAACAGCTGAAATAAAGAAGGTTTGAATCTATATTTTAACACAGGGCCCCTATTTCTTCAAAATTAGGTGATAAACCACAACCCACCTTTTTTTTTTTTTTAAATCAATTAACAATGCACATATTTCCATATCCAAAAACACATGTACAATTAATTGAACTTGCACAAACCAATTGCTAAACAGTGAACCTTGTCCTTTGGTCTGAAGCTTGATTGGTAATGTTGTCCTTGGTTATAAGCTTCTTGTACTTACACATTATACTGTACAGTAGTTGACAGTTTGTCATTTGTAGACAGATAATTAGTTCAATTTCAGTAAACAGAAATAACTTGGGAAAAACTACTTCATTAATGATTAAAATAATTATGCAAAAATAGTGAGGCCTGTGGCTTGTTAATAGTTGGACTTGTTGAAAAATATATGAAAAAAATAAATTGTCTGTATTTACAAATGTAGTCCTATAAGGCACATCATTTCTACAGTACTGTTGTTCTTTCAATTTCTTCTTTCAGGTTCTCATCTACAGGTGTCACTGCAAGGCATGCGTTTCAGTGCAGTATTATTCCACTTCTCAAGGCTGGCTTTACTACAGCACTATTTACCTGATGAGCAAGATCTGAATCTACTGCCATAGGTATGGTCTGTGTATTAGTGCCTTCCTCTGTTCCTTCCTTCCTGTTTGGATGGGCACCATTCTTTATCTGGACACAGTTCTCAATTATAAATGAATATTTATGCACAGTAGATTCATGCATGGTGTCTACTGGTCTTTCTGCTGTACTAGCATGTCAGATTTAAATACTCTTTTGTGAATGTAGAATGAAAGATAAAGCAGGCATTGAAGTGGATAGATGAAAACATGCACACATAACAGTAGATTAATCCACTACAATAAATACATTATTTAAGTGCCGTGCACTCATTTCTGGCTCTGATCATAAATGATCCAACACAGGTGCCTCCTACTGTATGGAAACATGCCATTGGCTGACAGTTATAATCCTATACAATGTCATGTCATGCCAGCTAGTTCTTATCAGTGCGTACCTGCCGCTTCAAGCCCGAAATCCACTTGATAACTATGACCAATGCTCATTAGTTCTTGTGGGGTTTATTGATAACCTTGTCAATCCATCGCAGGAACCTGCTAACACGAGTGTACACACCAGGGAATGAGGGGTTACCACAGCCATGCCCCCAAGAGATGACTCCTGTCAGCACCCAACGACCTCCCTCCCCTTGGCAAACCAGTGGACCCCCACTGTCACCCTGGCAGCTGTCCACGCGGTGGCGCTCCGACAGACTCCCAGCACAAAGCATGCGGCTGGTGAAGCGATCACCGTATCGCTTCTTACACTTCCAGGCGGGAAGCAGGGGGACCCAGGCTTGGAGCAGGGTCCGGGAGTACTCTGAATCTGACAGCAGAAAGGAGAGAAATGAAAGTCTTATAATGCAAATCTTATATTGCTCTCATTTAGATGAGTGAAAGTAGAAGATAACCAATAGAAATACAAACAGCAAAGCACATGCTAAAACTAAAAGTTACAAGAACTATGAAATGATTAGAGAGTAGTGCAGGTATAACATATACCTGCCACATAAAGTAGCACTGTGCCATTTGATGACCAAAGCACACTAAAGAAGTCACAGTGAAGGTACAGCAATGTGTGTGTTGTGTTTTTTGATGTTTGATAATAGTTGCCATCTTGCCATAACCTTCACCACTTGTTCGGAATTAGTTATAAATCAGTAGGAAATAAACAAATGTTGTGATGGTCTGAGTGGTGAAGTTACCTGTGATGCCCCAGCCAGTGATTACACAGGCAGCAGGCCGCTTCTCCCACTTGGTGCCTGGCTCTGGAAGACACACTGCACCTGTGTGAGGATTGAATGCCACACAGTTGCCCTCTGTGCCTTTGAGCCGTAGCAGGGCAATATCATACTCCCAGCCCTGACTGTGGTACTTTCTGTGGATAACGATGCGATCCGGGGACAAGGTGCGTTCAAAGTCATCTTGCTCCTCAGTGTGGTAGTCTCCCAGGCGTAAAGTGTAGCGGGTGGGATCTCTGCCAAATCTGGAGGAGCAAACAAAACAGTCTTATAAACAACCATAATTTATTGAGCAATCCTCTAGCTCAGGAGGAATTTACTTGCGCCGCATTAAGCATTAGGCATTCATAGCTTACGTAGAACATCTCATATAGCAGTAAAAAATAAATACATTAAAAAGGTCAACACACGTGAGTAGACTGAATTTCTAATTACCTCCACCAAGGAGGTTATGTTTTAGCTGGCGTTTATCTGTTTGTTTGTTGGCTGGTTTGTTTGTTAGTTAGTGAGGTAACTCGAATAGTTCTGAATGGATTTTCATGAGTTTTTCAGGAAATGTTGATAATGACACAATGAACAGACGATTAAATTTTGGTGATGTTCTGTTACCATCTGGTTATTTTCTCATAAAACAGTAAAAGCTGTTAAGTGTCACAGTCGCACAGAATGCTGTCCTTGCACCGTTTGTCCACTAGATGGAGCTCTGACTCCATTCAATCTTTCAGTCCTCACCGCTGTATTCTCAGTAGTACAGGAGCAAGCTACAGCCAGGCAGCATTACAGGAGTGGGCTGAGTGGAGCTTCTGACAGATAAGTTCATAACAAAATTGTGACATTAACAATGACTCAACATGTCTCCTGTTTCACTTTAACTCTCTTTGCCATGTGTCATGACGACTGACCGTGCTTTGTTGCATGCTTTTCATTTACGTTGCATTGCTATGGTTGAGCTAACCTAGCTTAAGTTACTCCCTGTCTGTTTATGTTAGCAATAACATCACTGTAGTTATGCCAACCTAGCATAGCATTAGCTAACAGCTTGAAGCCAGTAAGCAACTGCAGAAGTAAGTGTACAAAATTCTTGAGAGTACAGAACGATCGTTCCTCACTCCATCAGCTTGTTTTTAATGTTATCAATGTTAATTCAATGTAATTCAAGGTATGTTTTGATTATCCATGAATCTAATAGTGTAGAGAAAATGAATGCAGGACTTTAACATTGGCTGGAAATCACAACATGGTGGAAATGAGCTGCTTGGTGGAGGTCTGTGCTCTCCACGTGCTTTTTTAGTTTCTTATGTTTTTGAATGACTGTGAAAAAAGATGGTTTGGGTTTTTCATGTGTGAAATTTACTGGTAAAAAATAAGAATAAAGTTTACATGTACGGAGTAGGACTAGGCAGTGCCCACATTTACAATTCCTGCTAATATTTGTGTCCATTTCGGTGACATTGTGTGGCACATTATTTGGTAACAATCAAAAACACAAACTCTAAATCTTTACAGATGTAATTATTAATACATCAAGCCCTTATTTTTTTATCGGATCTGTATGTTCCAAATGGCACCAGCTGACCTTTAGAGGGAGCTGTCTCCTACCTCTTGAAGCAGTGGGCGGCGGTTACAACCCAGCACCTGTTGATGAGTGATGCTCCACACAGAGGATGATTGCCTTTAGACTGAGACCTGAGCCACAGAGACACTTGCCAGGGCCACTCACCCCTGAAATGACAGAGACAAGTTAGAGTATGTCTGCCATGGCTGTTGCTGGCTTTAGCAGCTGCAAAATTCCCCAGACTTGTCAGGCAGTGAAACTTGTACATTGTGCTGGGGTTGCATGTCAAGAGAGTATGTACATATGTTAACCTCAGTGACTTATCTCCTCCTATAATTCTGCGTCGACGGCGCTGATTATTGTGTAGTCTCAGGCCACAGGTCTGCATTGCAATGGTAACATCTCTCACAGGATCCAGAGTGTAATCACAGATAACCCCTGCATCCTCACTGTGACGACAGTCATGGCCATCTTGACCCTCAGTCGGACACTGACCTAAGTACATCTCAGTGCCCAAGCACCGAACATTGTCCAGATGGATGGGACCTCGACCCTCTCCAAAATATGCCATGGATCGAGCTTTAGCCGCACCTCTGAAAGGACAACACACAAAGATGTATAGTTTACTACTCCAATTTTACAAACCCACTTGTTTTCAGTTCAGTTCCATTTTATTTCTATGGCACCAGTTCACAACATATGTCATCTTTTGGCACTTCACATAGAAAGTTAAGGATGTTGGTAAATGTAAGGATGATGATCTACATTTTAATACATACATATTTTTCAAAATACATTACAACCAGCACCATTGCCTCACAGCTAGAAGGTCCTTGGTTTAAATCTTAGTTAGGGTCTTCATGTGTGGAGTTTGCATGTTCTTCCTGTGCCTGTGTGGGGTTTTGCTCTGGCTTCATCCCATAGTCCAAGAATATGCATGATAGGTTATCTGATGATTTTGAATTGGCTGAAGGTGGGAGTGTAAGCGTGCATGACCGTCTGTTTCTCTGTGTGGCCCTGTGATGGACATGCAACATGTATGCTGCCTTTAGCCCCAAGTCATCAGAGACTGGCTCCAGCAACCATTCACGCAATGATAAAACGGTGTATAGATAATGAATAGATGGAATGGATTCAGGTGTCGAAACCATTTGCATGAAATACAGTCTATGATTTTGAAAATACATTTTATTATCTCCAACCTCATAATAATTGTTAGTTTGCTGTAGTTAACTGATGATCTTTAGCCTGCTTAAGGGACGCAATTGAAGGACATTACCAGCAGATCCCACCTAACAAACCATACCATTTTGTGTTTTAACCTCAGACATCTCATCTCACCCAAAAATGGACGTTTCTCTCATTTGTAATAAGTCATGTCAGTTCATTTGTGTAGTAAACTCACTTTTTGTTGAACTGATGTGAGAGTGAAATATTGTGTGTATGTCTGTTAATTTGGGTTGCAAGCGGCTTTATACAATTGCCCTTACAGGATAAATAAACTAAGTCAGCTTATTCATTGTTACAAGTACCTAAAGGTCAGGTTCCATTAGATCAGTCCCAGATCTATGTCTATTTTGATTCCAACTGAACACATCTGCTCAAACTACAATCCTGCCTTACAGATATTTAAAGTGCTAAAAATGGCTATCATTTTTATCATTAGATAAAGCAAGTTTCTGTCATATGTCAAGACCCACTAACCGCATTTTCCTTCTCTCTGATTTCTCTCTCTGCAGAAAGACTTTCCACTTCTGACTTTCAGCCGCCTCCAAGAACAACTCTGGGCCACTTGGCTCATCCCACAGCTTCTACACTATTCTAAAAGACTACAAAGATGGCAATCCCTGGCATTCATGTCCTGCATTTGAGTCGGCTCAAAACACCGATGCGAACCTAGTATTCATAGCAGTAGTTTTTGTTTTTGTTTATTTTTCAGTTTTATTTTGTTTTGTAACACACTACATTTTCGCAAATGTTTTAGTGTGTTATTTGTTTTTTTCATTTAATAATTTTTTCCAATGTGATCTGATTGCTTGGTATTATGTCTTTGTAAAACACTTTGTGACTTGTTTTTGAAGTGCTATAAGAGTAAAGTCATTAGTATTATTATTTTCCCAAGATTTACTAAATGTTAGACTGATAGCATTTAAGTTTTTTTTTTTTTTTAAATTATTTCCTTTTAAAAGTTTTGTTCATATTTTTTTTTACATCATTTTAATGACTCCTGACTATTTGTTTAGGACAAAACCCTTTAGCAACACAAAATGCTAATCTCAGCATGCCAAAAGAGTGAAGCGCTAAAACTCTTTGGACATACTGCTAACAATGAAAACCTCTAAAAAAAACATACTTACATAAATTTTCTGTGTATATTCATGCTCCTATAGGAAAAATGTTTTCCATTTATAATACTTCACGAATTTTAGTCAAGCATTCTTTGGCAAAAAAATATCCGAACAGATATATTCATACTTACGTGAAACCCAGCTGTCTGCAAACTACAGCTGCACTGACATCATTCCAGCCATCATCACACACACTTCCCCACTGGCCATTAAGGAAGACCTCCACTCTGCCTTCCTTCCTGCTCTCTCCTGCAACCAAACGCACCAGAGGGCCTGTAGAGAAACATTAGAGGAAAATGTGCCATTAATATGTTGTGGATGATAAATAATCATGTCATAAGATTTTCAGATGACAGCAGG